TGGGGTTGCAATATTAGCCGCCTCTCCGAAGTTAAATCCTAATGGCAAAAACGTATGGATGAAATCAGTTCCCTACTAAAAATGTAACTATATAAATTCAAAGGTTTCTCACCATGACTGAACCCTGAATGATAGGCTCTCGGGAAAGTGACAACAAACTCCCCAGCATTTTGCACTAACCTGATTACAGAATACTGTTAATGTCAGAAAGTGATAGATAACCATCCCTCACCGAGACATTATGAGAATAGATTCCAGTTTAAAGTATTTCAAGGGAATTTCTCAATAGGACATAAGGATGGGGCATAAATTTAATAAAAAGAACAAAAATAGCAATCAAATACTTAAGAATGAAAGAAAAATGAAAAGGAAGCCGAAATATGTGCAGTGTAAAGATCACAAGTAGTAATTTAGGATGTGAACTGAACCTAAGATTACTCGATAGTGCAAAAGAATATGGGGTAACTTCACCTGCAGCATGGTATTCCAGCCTGAACAAATACTTCAGGAGACATCACTGTGGTCTTCTCACCAAGAGTAGAAAAGGTAACTAACACAAAAAATTAAAATGAAATCAGTTCAATTGGTATATTTGTGAAAATATACAACATCAGTACCATCACTTAAATACAAGGGATTGAATCAATTTTCTAGTTAAGCCAGACCAAGTCGCATAGAAACTTCATGGAATAAAATTAACCTGATCCAAAATGGCAATTCTACACTAGATAGTCAAAAAGTTCTATTCTAATCATCTGCTACACTCCCAAGTCTTTAACCTAATTGAATTTTAAGTGCTACAACTTCAAAGTATACAGGATACACGTAAAAGAGGACAAGACATGATGCAAATTAATTGCATAAGCCATAAACACTGTCTTCATGAATATATATATATATATATATATATATATATATATATATATATATATATATCTGGCCCAGACTCTATTCTCATAACTAACCCATACACACAACTCCCAGAAAGGACATAGAAGACAGTTTGTTCTTGTTAGATTAGATAATGCTAACAGATAATTAGAACCACTTAAAAAGCTATATTGACACTGTTGAACAATAATTCAAACTTGAGCACCGTGTTTATTTACTAAATTCTTCCGTTGCTCAAAATAGTCTATCTCACCAATGATATCCTATGTGGGCTACTACTTACATATGCAGAGGCCACACAAAGTATTACATTTTTACATGTAGCAAGCAAAGAAACAGAGGAGAAATAAGTAATAGTTCACTAAACTCACCAAGAGGATTGAATCCCCTTCATCGAAACACAATGAAACTGGTAATTAAGACCTCTTTAATAACTCCATTGACACAGTCCAACAAAAAGTCAAATTTGAGCATAGGCTATAAAGTTAGTGCCTCCTTCACTCAAACTAGTCAATCACGCTAATGTTATCCTATACGGACTACTACTTACATATGGACTACTCTTCTCCATTGACACAGAAAAGCTCTGTTGACCCATTCAACAAGAAGTCAAAGTCAAGTTCCTGGTCTATTAAGTTAATTCTTCATTTTTCCCAGACTAGTTGATCTCTACATCGGTACCCTATGTGGGCTACTACTTACACATGCAGAGACAACACAATATATTTCACATGTAGCTAGCCAAGAAACAGAGGAAACACAATCAATAGTTCACTAAAGCTCACCAAGAGGATTGAACTCCCCACCATAGCCCTCAACCCTGACCACCTCCTCGAAAGCAACTGCGGCTTCCCTAGGAACACCATACCAAGTCTTCCCAGCTCCCATATGCAAGTAATTCAAGCTATGCAAGTCATGATCCTCGACATGCCAAGCGAACCAACTGAACAACATTGCAATGTACACCATAGGAGAAGTAACCCCCGGAATCTCCTCCTTCATGAACCTTAACAATGACCCTTTGGCCCTCGAAACAGATCTCATATTCCAAGGCGTTTCCCCCACCGTAACCCCTTCCCCTTCCCCTGCTTCTCTCCCTCTCCCACTGCTCTTCTTTGAGCTCAAAGGCACGAAAGCCGAACCAGGCATGTCGTTAGCATACTCAACCATGGAGGGTTTATCAACCGTTGCTTTCCAGAAAAATGTTTCGACTTCTAAAGCCGAAAGGCTACCCTTTTTGCTGTGTTTCTTCAAGTAATTCCTTTCGAAACTCTTGGCTTTCGCTTCGAATTCTTGGAAAGTGTAATACTCCCCACTTTGCCATACGGGTTTCTGAACAGGTCGGTGCTTCCTGGGGCAAAACCCGATCTGCTGCTGCCGGGTAGTGAATGTAGGTGCTGGCTTCGAATCTGGGCTTGCATTAGCTGCAGAACGAGCCAAAAGTGAACGGTTGAGGTTCCCAATTGCAGTCTTTTTAGGAGCAGGTGGCACTGGGGGTATGATTTTGCAGATTCCATACTGGGAAGCCTCCTTTTCGATCTTGGAAATGTATGCAATCGGATCTTGAAACTCTGATAAAGTAGGCCTGTACTCTGGAGCTAAAGGCATGGATTTCAGCCATGGAAACACCTCTTGACTTTGCTCTAACGAGTGAGCCATGAGAATGAAGAGCAGTAAATCTCTGTGTGAGTAAGGTTTGGGAAATCATTGAAAGAAGCTCATATCATGAAAGCTCACTAGAAAAAGAAATACAAAACAAAAGGGGCTTCAGATTCTTCCTAAGCTTCCATTTCCTTTGCTTTTTTTATATTCTGGGAAATGGGGATTTTTTTTCTTTTCTACTGTCCTCTGTTTTTTTTTATTAATTTTATGAATAACAGAGGAAGAGGAAGGGACAGAGATGCAAAGCAAACTAAACTACGGGCAAGTGGATGAGATGTGAGGTTTTATTCTGGGTTTGGACTAAAACACTCAAAGTTGTGAAAATGACAGCCATTTTCTTTTTATTTACCTTCCTGCCACTATCTCTTTCTTTAATCTTTAATAAATTTAATCACTCAAGTTGTAGGAGTTACAAACTAATCATTAAACTATCAAATTATTACAAAATGATCACTTCATGTTATAAAATAATGACAAATTTTGATAAATTTTAATATTACAGTGTAACAGTTCAATAAATGTAATGGCTATTTTGTAACTTTTAAAAGTGTAATGGCTAAAAGTATTACTCAAGTGTAGTTTAATGACAATTCCATGTATTTTATCCTTTTAAAATAAACAATAATTTTCTTTGGGCGAATACTGACTAGTGACCGATAGAATATAGAAACAATGGGTAAACTACTTTATTTGGTCATTTTTTTCTCTTATTTTTTGTTTTGGTCATCCAGTTATATTTTAAAATAGTATATAAATTTTATGTTTTGTTAATATTTCGGTCCTCCATGGTTAAATCTAAAGTTGACTTAACAAAAAAATTGCGATATGATATAATAATTAGTCCTAAAAAAAATTATATATTCTATCAAATTGATCATAATTTAAAATAATTATATAATTCTTCAATATTCAAATAAATATATTAATTGATTCTCCTTTTTTACATTAAGTTAAAAGTGATTACAAAATATAAAATACTATATATTCTAAGTACTCTCAACTATTCGAGATTGAACATTCGATCACCCTTGTTGCCGTTGGTGCTCGAACCCGTAACTGCTAAAAATAACAATGATTATTCTGACCATTGAAGTAAGTTGGTTCATGAAATTGATTCTCCTTTTATTTTAAAATAATTTAATAATATGTATTAATTTATTTATTTTTTAAAGATGTGTGTATATTTTTAAAATTATTAAAGTTTAAAAACATATTGTGTGAATGTGTATTTTTATTTTATTTTAAAATTATCAAACATATCTTTCGATCAGACTCGTCGTTACTTTATGTCGCCGATTTCGTTGCCCTTCATAAATAACGATATGAGTGCAACCCCACTCATTCGTCGTTCAACTTCTGTCGTAAGATACTCTTGTCTTTTTGGCGTGGTTCTCCATTCCTAACCTATTTTGCATCAACTCCCAACTAGAAATCGACGACAGTCTTCATTGGACCGACTCCATCTTACCACCACTCTAGACCACATCATGAAACTAAGGATGGATACAGGATCCAAACCCGATGGATTCTACCTCGACCCAGACTAATTTTTTATTTAAAAAAATAAAATTTAAGTACATTCAAATTTTTTAAAGGTTATATCCGATTCAAGTCGAGTTTGGATTTAGGATGAAAAATATCTTATTTAAAAAATATATAATTTTATCTTATACATTTAATGTAATTACAATAATATACCTCCATATATTATTTTTCCAATTAAATCAATATCCTTTTATTGGATAAAAATAATATTTTTTAATAAATATATTATTTTAGATTGAGTTTAGATTTTATTTTAAAAAGGCGAGTCAGATTCGAGTTGCATGAAAGATATATATTTTTCGGGTCGGATTCCAATCCGGTGGAGATGTATAATTTTCAGATCATATCAAATTATTCGAAAATCCGATATGATCTTATCTAACCCATAACCATCCCTATATGCAAAAAAAAAAAAAAAAAAAAAAACTTTGTACCTCTCAACAACGCCAAGGCCGTTACACCCCTCTATCTCATCTCTGAACGACTTAAATCTTGACACCCTCGCCTTTTAGTGTGCACGCACCCTCTCTGACCGAATCCAAGCCCCCACATCATGTAATCGTCAATGAGAACCCCAAAACCCCCTTTGAAATCATCACATCTAAAAACCACCTGAAAGCCCAAAATGTTATTAAGGACTAAAAATGAAACCTCAAAATTTGAGGTAAAAAACAAAATGTGTAAGTTTCTTTAAGACTAAAAATGACTTTATATCACACCACATCACCATTTCTGTTAAAATCAACAGTTAAACCTGACGTCGGAAATGTAAAGTTAGATATGATTTTAAGGAAGAAAAATATAATTGGGTCACCACCATTTCTATCCCAATGTATTTCTTCCACTAAATGGGAGACCGAATCACAAAACTCGAACAGTGTATATTTAAAACACCAAGCAGAAAAAGGGCAAATAGATGAAGCAGTACATTAATATAGTTTCCTTTTTTGGGAAGTATACAAAGGCATCATCTTATCATCATTGCATCATACACTGCAAGCATATCATATTCATATCATCCCTAATGAACATGCTACTTTGTTTATAATATGCGCCTAAAAGCTACTTTGATATCAAAGAAAGAACCAGCTTTATATGGCCGACTGGGATCGTGAGAATCTCTGCCGGATGACCACAAAGAAAGAAAGAAAGCATAAGGAATTCCACCATCCCGCCCGCATCTGTGTATGAGCGCACAGAGGGTACCGCAATGGCAAGTAAATTACAGACATCAAAAGGTATTGGTTTCTCAAGAGGCTGCAGTGGTGAGCTGAGCTTCAATTGCCAATGACCCGAAGGATGGCAGAAGCCAGCCCTTCTTCTGGGCATACTCCATATAAAAACTGAATTTATCTTTTGCATTTGGAATATCCAGAGCCAGGTCATCAAGCCCATCCTTGACCCGTGTGAAGCCTTTGCTCATCTGATTAATAGTGATTAGCCCCTCGTTGAAACACACCTGTAGCAGATCCAGTATCCTATCGTTTTTCTTCTCCATGGCCATCACCAGTGCTTTCTTAACCACCTCGTGGTTAAAGAATGGCATTCCAAGGTCACGGATACACTGGCAAGCTTCACCTACAACGCCTCCACTTTCATACTCCTCTAGGAGCTTCATTATCTTGTCCTTTGCATCCTCTACAGCCCACCCAGTTCCACCTCCCCAGCACCTCAGGAGCCTTTCCCCAGCATGGCGTGCAGTTATAAGTGATCGAGCCATGCGGATAGTCTCACTTCCACTGCAGTTTGGTGGCAACTTGCCAGCAATCTCATCAAGATTCAATGGGGCCAACACATCATCAATAACAGCTCTAGCCAAGAATAGAGCAAGCTCAGTCGAAGCATCCAAAATATCCAAGGCAGTGTCTTCCGCAGACTCCAGAAGCATGACAAAGCCATTCACTATATCTTCAGTTGAAAATATCTCAATGTGAAGAGCAGAGAGCAAAACAGACGCCATTTCTTTCTCCCTGTTCTTCCTGTCCAGGGCAAGAGTGATGAGCTTCTTCAAGAAAATAGGATTAAATTCAGGCAACCCTACATCTTCAAGACTCCTGATGAGTTCCGGAATATCATCCGAGAGAAAATACTCGTGAATTATAGCTACAACTTCCTTCTTGTACTGGATCAGTTTTTTATCTTCATTTTGAGCCTCTCCATCTTCAAATGATGACTTAGTGAATGATGCATCAAGCCATCCTTCAGAAATAGCCTTTGGGATGATGGATTGAAACAAAGTTTTCGAAGATGGAATGTCAAGAGCAAGATCATCGAGACTCTCTGCTAACCGAGCAAACCCTTTCACCATTTGACTCGAACTTATCAGCCCTTCCTCAGCCGCTTCCTTCAAGAGTTTCAGCATATGCGGTTTGGCAGCTTGAATTTCCATGGCAAGAACCAAAGCCCTCTTAACAACCTCATGATGAAAGAATGAAACACCTAATTCCCTTATGCACTTACAGGCCTCAAATGTGTCACCGCTCTCAACATACTCCCTTAACAGATCAGAAATCTTTTTCTTCATTTCCTCAACTGTGACATGAATGCTACCACCCCACCTCCTCTCCAAAAGTTCAGCATGGTGGGGTACTGAGAGATAGCTCTTCTCCGCAGTTTGCAGAACCTTATATCCCTTGGAGGATTCAGAAAGTGTCTTCTTTGCCCTTGAGAGGAAAGCTGGAGGCAGTATCTCATCAACCACAGCACGAGCTACAAACAGAGCAAGGGTATTGATCGCATCCATTATGTCCACAGCAAGGTCATCAGCGGCCTCGAGAAGCATCACAAAACCATCCTTAATCTGGGTTGGGCTGATGACATCAGCATATAGCGCAGAAAGCAAAACCGAGGCCATTTCCTTCTCTTTATCATGCCTGTCCATGGCCATTGAGACAAGTCTCTTAATAAAATAAGGATGAAATTCACTTGAACCAAGATATTTGAGGTCGGATGAAGCCAATTCCACATCACTAGTGCTAAAATATTCTTCTATTATTGAGACAACTGCTTTTTTGTACTCATCCAGGGGGTCGGAAATAGTTGACCCAACAAGTTGATATGGTTCCTGGCAAAGACAAGGGTAAAGAAATTCAGCATCACCAAAATTATTAACATATGAGCATCGCAGCAGGTACAAGTGGCATTAACTTTATAAACAGCAGCGATTTACTTGATAAAGAAATGTAATTTTCAAGTATGCAAAAGACAGAAGAGACTAAAAGGTACAAATACCTCTCCACTGTCATAGTTAGGATCATTTCGATCAACATGTGATACAACATCGGTATCAAGCAGTTTCCCCCATGTGCCCTTACCACCAGCACCATCTGTTTTAACATTAGGAGGAGGAAAACAATTAATCAGGAAGAAAAATATATAAGAACTCCTTGGTGAATCTCCCACATCTCAAGCAAAGTTCATCAGCAAAATACAGATAGAAAGCAGCATATATCCATAAGTCAATATTAAGGCCAGCTTATCATTAGGCTTAAATGAATTATGTGCAGAGAAGAAACCCAGATCATGGGATAATATATTGCAAGATGCAACTCTTTTAATTGATAACATAGCTACAGGCATAAAATCAACAAACAAAATTTGAAACTTCCGTAACTTATTTTCCTCTTACTAAGGCCACAAGTTGTTAAGAAACACTCTTAATTACTTTCTGAGCAAGATAAGCAAGGGCCATACCAAGTACCAACCCCAATAAAAACCACAATATAACAAAATTCAGCAGTAGCTTGAAATAAATCTTTTATATCCGATTACATGTTTAAGGTGAAACTGATGATGAATCGTCAACCTTTACACAGGTTTTTGGTAATAAACCGTTCCTTCCCTCCAAACCCCACTTCATCAAGTAAAAATCAGCTTGCACTGAATACTGATTTGAATTCAACTATCCCCCAATACAATATGAAGAATGTGATCCAAGATATACATGCAAATACTTATAAAATGAAAAGAAAACTAAATAGCATCCGCAAGGATAGCGAACTACAAAATAAATACACAATGAGGTTAGCAATAATAAATGCAAGTTGTAAAACAAAAAACCAAAGCAATGAGAAGGCTCACCCTTCTTTACACGTACAAACTTCCCTGAGTGAGACCGACGAACATGCTTCATTCCAACACCACACATTGCCATCTTACCACCAGTAGAAACCTTTAATTGGTGATCAAAATGCAAGGAAGTAGGGGATTTCGGAGATGATGACAATCTAGGAGATGGTAAACTAGTCTCCGCATTTTGACTCGCTATTTTCAGCACTTCCCTTTGTTCATCAGTAAGGAATCCCTCACCTGATGCCATTTACTCTTCACCAATTTAAAATACATGCAAGTAAATACTCTCTCTTAGATTGAACTGTTTCCGGATGAACTATGTTTAATTAGAATAAACAAATAATTAAAGAAATCTTGATTAACAGTGGGGAAAACAGAAAAATGCAATAAGATCTCATGGACGAAGTAAGATAAGCATATATTTTTATTAAAACCGCAACGGTTACACTCAATAATCCACTATCGTTCATTTTCGCAACATTTTCCCAGCATCCAAACATCGCGATGGCAACAAAATCTGACAAAAGAAAAGGATAGGAATGAGCAAAAATACCAGATTCCTTGTCTGAAACTTGGATAGAAGAAAAGAAAATGAAGTAAGAACCCTAATCGGCTAATCCAATCCTTATGTTCGTGGCCCCGGATCTAAAGCCAAAACAGGAGTAAATCGGATCTCCGAACCGGAGCTCCGATTCCAGTCAAAGTAATAAACGGCGAGGTCAAAAAGAAGGAAAGTTCCAAAAACGGAGCCCTAGATCGAAGGAAATGGGTCGCCTGATCCAAGTTCCTGGACGGAAATCTGTTACAAAAAAGGAAATGGATGACGGCAAAAATAAGAAGGGATATGATATACCATATATATAGGGAGGCTACGGTTATTGTGACACGTCACCAAAGGTTCAATTATTTTAAATAAATGCATAATGCAAACAAATACCCTAACATTTAACCATATATGCAATTATGCCCAAATCGTTTTTTTAGCATTTGGCCTCCTCACGTTTTATTTTGGGTCAAAAAGCACCCTCGTTGGATGAAAACCGTTAGTCAACTGACGGTCAACGGCTCCAGCTGACTAAGTAAGCACAAGTGGACAACGATGATGATGTGGCGTGTCCACGTCACTAATATATACTGACGTGGAATTGACACGTCAGCAAATTTTTTTTGTTAAAAAATAATTTCAATTAGAATTTTACACCAATAAGAGGGTGGCACGTGTCACTCTTATATTGATGCGTATTGGTAAGAATAAATTAAAGGTCGCTACTTGCGTGAAAGGGGATTCGAACCTGGGGAAAAGGCGTGATATAGGATTGCCCTTGCCACCAGGCCAAGTATGCTATTCAGTTATGTAATGAAACAAAAGCTTATTTAACCCATATTAAATCTTCAGTTTAATTAAACCAAATGAAACACGTTTCAAATATCTCGTAGGATCTTCAAACTGATTTCCCCCCTAAACCCAAGTATCTCCAAATTTAAATCGATCTAAAACCCTAATTTCATATCCCCTTTCAATTCCATCTCCATCAAATTCGAAAAGAAAAAATTTCGAATATTTTCCCCTTTCAATCTCTCCATCTCAAATGCAATAGAAGGTGAGTGTAACATCCGCAATAACGGATTAGTGACTAAATTGAAATGTTTAAGAATTTGATGACTAAAGTAGAAGAATGAAATAATTCAATGATTATTAGAATATATATAATGAAGGTTATTTAGTAATTATTAAAGGAAATTAAGGGTATTATGGTCTTTTCCTTTAAAAGATATTTCCCCCCTTTTATAAGAGTGAAAAACGTGGGAAGAGAGCTATCTGGAAGCTTTCTTCTTCTTGCTTTCTCTTCTTCACGTGGGGCTTAGCTACAATAGGTAAGTTTAATTTCAGTTGGTTAATTCTTGAGTTTTAAGCTTAGTTTTGATTCTTTGGGTATTAAATAAGCTTAAGGAAAGCTTATATGGGATTTAAACAATAAGATAAAGGAATTATGAAGGAATTTGCAATATGAGTTTTAAGATGAAATTTTGATATGGTATGGTTGTTGAAGTTTTATGGATGAATTCGACTTGTCATCAATCTAATTAAGAAGTATGAAGTGTTAGAATTGGAATTAGAACACATTGAAAATTTGGTATGATTCTTGAATCTCATATGGAAGATAGGATTTTGAGGTTTAAGATGAAATAAATGAATATAGATTGGTTTAAGTATGTGTACTAGAGTTAAGAATGAAAAGGGGATGATATATGAAGTGTTTGAGAGGAAATGAAGTAATTTTCGAGTTAAAAATATGATTTATAGGCAAGGGGAATCGGTACCCATTCAAGGGGAACCGATACCCCTTCAAACGAACAAAAATTTCCAGAATGTCATGAGGGAATCGATACCCCCTTAGTAGGGAACCGATTCCCCCTAAAGGAAAATTGTAATATTGGTTTAATAAGTTCGTTTAAGTTGCTAGTATCCAACTACAAGGTGTAGGTATCTAATGATTGCCTCAAAATATACATTTATGTAGATTCTGCGCATAAAGCAATTCCGGAACATTTGGCAAGTAAGATCGATCAAGGGAAAGATAAGAGATTGAAATTTACTAGTGAGGCCAAGGTGAGTGCATACTAGTGACATGTAGTGTTTAATGGAAATAAGACTTGCGATGAGTCTATTTCCTAGAGTAATATGCATGAAGTCATGGACATGATTATGTATGGTTATAATTATATGTGATTATCTGTATTACATTGATTGTATGTATGCATGACTAAAGATAATGATATGCTTTGTATATGCTATATGATTTATGTAAGACTTTATTATGTAATAATGGAAGAACATGGAATAAGTTATATGATATGGTATAAGTGATTATACGAGAAATGTTAGGAGACTCTAAGAGAATAGTTTGAATTCGAGGGCATAAATAAGGATACATAAGTTATATAGGGAAGATTGATAAATTAAAGGAAACTATGGTTCATGTATTATAGTGAAGAGCTATAAAGTTTTATTAAAGAGTATTGTAGAAGTCATGAGAAATTGAACTAAATAAATAGATGGTTTATGTGAGTGGAAAAGGAAAATGATATAAAATAAATGGAAATTATTTATAAGATAGCATGAGACTAATTGAACATGTAATATAAACTTTATAAAGGAGTACTTGGGTAAAATCATTATATGATACAATTATAGAGTATTACTATACAAATTATATTAAAATATGATATATGAGAATATGAGTAAGTTTATAGGATATTGATAGGACATATAAGAATATTTAAATGTATGATGATATGAAAAAGGGAATACAAAGAAATGGAGCATCAGGTAGATAATATGATATCAGTTATTATATATCTATATGATATATGCCATCAGGTAATATGAAAGGACTCTGAAAATTGATATAAGCTATGAGAAAGTGTTATAGGTGTTTCTATGTGTTATATGAAGCATATATGATCATATGTGAACAAGATATGATATGTATGTTTATATGAATATTTGAGAAATGATCTAAGCTATATGATATGTTATGTGACATGTAAATGTGACTCATATGAAAATGTTCTATGAGTAATTGAACTATGTGTTATGTGAAATGATAAGTATAAAAGAAAATGCCCATGTTATATGTCTTGAGAGTTAGGGGTATAGTTGGCATGCCAAGAGTCGAGGGTTTACCTATGTTCTACAGAACATATGGACATTTTTACCTATGTCTTTCGAGACATATGGACAGTATACCTATGTTCTAAGGAACATATGGACAGTTTACCTAGGTTCTTCGGGACCTATGGACAGTTACCGAGGATCTTTATGACCTCTGGATAGTTACCGAGGATCTTTATAACCTCTGGATAGGTCATTCGGGACATTTATATGAGCTATGATGACAGCATAGTGGTGCACAACCTCAATAGACTCACATATCTACAGTTCTCACAGGTGTACATGGGCTAATCAAGAGATATAAACAAATATATGTTAGTGATATGATAAATGTATTACAAATGATATGATGTTGTGTGTATAGTGTTTGATTGAAAGGTTAAGCATAAAAGTATGTGATTACATGATAAACTGCTAATGATGATTTATGTGTATGTATGTATTTATTGTTAATTAATCTGATATAATTTTACATGATATGAGGAAATCATGTAATTTGGTATAGCATGATAGAACAGAACATGCATATATTGATATATGTTATAAAGTGCATTATAAGTTTTTATGCCTCATTAAGTCTTCGACTTAGCGTTTGATTGTTTCACACGTAGGTTTCGAGAAGAGTAAAGAGTAATGCGGAGCAAGACAGGTCAGTTCTCATTACCAAATGTCAGATCAGAAAATATATGTACTGTATATAGAGTATAGTTGGCATGTACTCTAAAGATATAAATTGTATGAACTCTGATATATTTTATAAACGTTTTGAATAAGTTAAGTGTTATCAAAGTTTTTAAATTACTCACTATTTTATACGAATAAATGTTTGAAAAGTCAATGTGACACTTCGGACTCGTATCCGGGTTGGATACGGGTTGGGGTGTTACATTTAATGGTATCAGAGCTAAGGTTTAGCCGATTCTCGGCATAAACCGAAGTCCAAAGTGTCATAAAAGGTGTACATGCCAACATAGATTGAAAAATTTCTGATCTGATAGTGTAAGGAATATGTTGTCTTGCTAATAGAATAAGAATAGTTTAATATAATAGAAATTCGATCGTGATAATTTCGAAGTAAGTGAAAGGTGATATTCCTGATTGTGATAGCTATTCACCTGCCCTGGCCAGGCAGGATGAAGAGCGGACACCTCAGGAAATGCCTAGTAAGATCAAAAGTTGATTTCAGAAAGCTGAAATCATATCTGAATAATGATAGAAAGTTTTCATTGTTTTGAATCGGAAACACGATATATAGTAGTTTTGTTATTATATGGATAAGATAGAATATGGTGAACAGGTGTCACCATAAGAATGTTAAAAAGATCTAATGACATGGTGAGTACGTATAGAAGAACTCAAGGATAAGTGCATCAGTGACAAGTGTATAAGATGTATAAAGTCAGAGCTTATGAGTTTGAAACAAAGTGATAGTATTGCGCATAAACAAGAGTATGTTTATAATAAGGATTTGCAATTAAGATGGAAAGAGTTAGCATTGGCTAACTAGAGTATGTGATAAAAATGTACTGGAATTATAAGATTATAAGATATTGTCAGGATATGATAACCAAATCTGCAATGGATCTGGATATAGTTGCATATTTGGATAGTAATGTGGTATAGTAAAGGAAAAGGAAGTAAGAATTTGTATATTTAAATAAAGCTGAGGATTGATAAGAAGAGTTTGAGAATATGTATATCGATGATCAGATTATAGGACACAGGAAGTCAGAATGTTGAGTTTGAGCAAAAGAAATTTCAGGATGTATGAGAATAGAGGTGAAATTGATAAGTTGAGTAAGCGAATTTTGAGATAATTTAGATTGGAAAGGATGTATATGATTGGTATAATAAGGCTTGTGCCCTAGATTGAACAAAAGTTATTATCTAGCTATCAGAGTAAATGTGCTAGAGTTATAAGATTAGAGAAAAGATAAAGTGGAGTTAATCAAATATGATAAAGGGTTATAAGGAGGTGCAAATTATAAGTTTGATTAGAAGTAATAAAAGTATGTAAGGTTATATGAAGAGATTATGTGTATCGTAATACAGACAAGGATGAAAGAATGAGTAAAAGTTTGGATTGTGGAGAATTAATTAGAGAATGAGGAAAGAAATCAATTGATTGATTTTTGATTT